TCGATAGGCTTGCTGTCTTAATTACCAGTGGAGATATTAAGCAATTGCTTGCAGTTCCCGCTTTGCCAAATTCAACAGGAAAAGAACAAGCCGCTGCAGTGTACGACGCGCTTTTCAAGTGGAATTTGGAAAGTAAAGTAATAGCTTTCTGTTGTGACACAACAGCTTCTAACATGGGTTATATAAATGGGGCGGCCACAATTTTGCAACAAATGTTAGAACGTGATATTTTGTATTTTCCATGTAGGCACCATATCTTTGAAATTGTTTTGAAAAGTGTGTTTGATATAAAAATGCCTTCTTCATCTGGTCCAAACGTAGCCTTATTTAAACGTTTTCAAGAATTTTGACCTAAAATAAATCAAAATAAAATAAAGACTGGATTACAGGTAGAAAAAATTAAACAAATTTTAGAGCCGGTTAAACTTGAGATTGCAAATTTTATAAATTTATGTTTGACAATTCAACAACCACGCGATGATTATAAAGAATTTTTATTGCTTTCTAAACTTTTTATTGAAGAACAACCTACCAATCTTAATTTTTATCGTCCAGGTGCATTTCATCATGCACGTTGGATGTCAAAGGCCATTTACTGTCTTAAAATATTTATTTAAATTAACGCAACAAGAAAATACAGGTATTGCAGATATATGCCTTTTTATTGTTAAAGTTTATGTAAAAGCTTGGTTTAAAGCGCCATATGCGATCAAAGCACCATTACTGGATTTACAGCTTTGTAAAGAAATCGATGAATATAAAAATATTGACAAAAAAATATCTCAAGTAATAAGTAAAAAAATAATAAACCATTTGTGGTATTTAAATCCAGTCAATGTTTCCTTATCTTTTTTTGATGACGAAATTTCGATTATTGCAAAGAGAGCTATGGTTAAAGCTGTAAAGAAAATAAAACCAAATGAAGAAGGCATTACACGGTTGATGATAAATGATATTAATGACATTAAACACAAGGAAATTGAGGACTTTATAAGCGATAGAAGTAAAGAATTTTTTGTTGGGTTAGTTAAGCTTGCCTACAGACTTTTTGGAAACTGATCCAACAACTTGGAGCAAAAATTCTTCTTTTAAAAAATGTTTGGATATTGTTAATAAACTTAAAGTAGTAAATGATGCAGCTGAACGAGGCATAAAGCTTATCGGTGAATATAATCAACTTTTAACAAAAAATGAAGAACAAAAACAATTTTTGCTTCAAGTTGTTAAAGATTATAAATCACGTTTTCCAAATGTAAATAAGAAAACCATATTACAAGTTTTTAAGTAATTAAGTGAATATATTTTATTACTTTATTAGGATAATTATCATAATTTTAGAAACATCATTTTTTTAATCAAATAAAATCTATTACTCCTCCAATATGTGGTTTTTTTCTACGATGCTAGTATATTTTGCCTTATATTTTACACATTTAAGATCATAATAAAGTATTAAATATTCGTACAAACGTTGTCATATCTTAAAAAATATGAAATGTAACAGACTGTATAAAACAGTATGAACAATTTAATGTATTCCTATATTGTAAACAGGACATGTTGTGCTCACTTATTTTTTAATGGGATTTTTATCAATTAAAATCATTTATATGGGTGGAAAATTAAAATTTCTAAATTCAAAAAAGATGGTCTTTTTGTATGCTTTCAGGGGTGCATAGGTTTCAAAATTATTAAAAAATGTATTCTTTAAGTGTTAAGTCCATAATTTAATATTTACCCGTACCGCATTGTGTTGCAGTTTGCATTGAATAATTAATTATTTATTCCGGCCAAAGTAAATGTAAAAAAATTGAAACTTGGCAAAATTTAACAATTTAACAATAGTGACTATTTCTTAGAATTTTTGAAAATTTTAAGTTTTAGCTAGCTGATTTTCTTAAATTTAATAAAAATCATATAGCTGAAACTCTAACAATATAAGAGCTAAAAATCGGTAAAAATTCTAAGGAATAGCTACTATTATAAGATTACATTCTGACAAGTTTCAAATTTTTTAAACAGTTACTTTGTCCGAAATAAATAATTAATTATTCAATGCTGAAAATCCCATGTTATTTACATAGGAAACTTAAACTGCAATGCGGCACGGGTTAATATTAAGTTAGGGACTTGAAACTTGGAAATTATTATTTTTTATTTATTTCGAACCCTTTGAACCCCTGAGAGCAAAAAAATTTGAGGTTAGGTTTTTATACCATTTGATGCAATTTTTAGATTACACAGTTCGGCGTACCTGTCAAAATTCGATAAAATAAACCGTTTCCGAGATATTCGAGATTTCAATAATTGTTGTATCGCATTAAAGGACTAGAAGGTATATGGTAACAAATTTGTTAATTGAAAAAACTACAATTTTTATTTTATCGAAGTCTGAGAGGTACACCTTTTTAATAGTAGCCGAACTGACTAATTGAAAAATTGCATCAAATGGTAAAAAAACCTAACCTCAAAGTTTGTATGGGACAATAAGCTTAAGCAACCCCTGTTTCTACGACACTGTGTTCACTCGAACAATTGTAAATATGTGTTTTGCTAGTAAGTTCTGTTCGCAAAATATTACCTTTCCAAGTCTACCATAATAGAAGTTATATTGAAAAAACTGATATGATAAGTAACACTTTATCACCCTGTATCTTTTAAACATACGTAATTAGGAAAAGTATTTATTTAGATTTTCGTATTATTTTGACTTGCTTAATTTGCTCCTAAATTTATGCCACTAAGTTTAGGGACACCTTGTATATATTTTTTGCCGTTCCCGGCCTAAGTGATCAAAATAAATTTCAGCGAAATCGATTAACATTAACCTAACTTTGTTATTAACTTACCTGTCGCTCGGCGCAAAATTTGTCTTCCATGTTCATTGATTTGTGTATTAACTGCAAAAACAAATTGATTAAGTACGTAATAGTACAGACTTTTCTAGTCTTCTAAGTCTAACATTGACTAATATTACTTCTCACTCAAAGCTTAAATCAACAAAATAACCACTAATAGCGCCATAATGGCGATATTGGGACAATTAATTAATTATATTATAACCGTATGGTTGCAAACAAATGATAAAGCCAACTTACCTAAACCGTAGAGTCTCGCCTATGGAGGACAATGCGTTTTCTATCACACAGCCCTAAACCACAACAACAAATGGCAACACCATAGAAAATTGTATTGAACACAAAACAATGGCAGCACAGATTATAAATGGCAGTCGCAACGCAGAGTATGCCCTGTTACAGGGCCCCTTTTATACCGATATATCAACTGGAAACGAAATTACCCGAGTCCTTTTTTACGTAAATTTTACATAAAATGTACGTTTCTTAATCTCACGATGCGATGATAATAATAGAATAATTATTATTTTATAAGCGGTAATATTAATTAATAAATCACTCTGGGATTTATATTAAGTCATTAAAATAATAATTGTACCTACTTACATTGGTTTCTAAGTAAGTACCTTCGGTTTAATCTAAAATTATGAATTAAATTCGGTATTTAATTATCTAAGGTATACACTCAAAAAATGTAAATATTGTATATATTTCAATGTTCATCATTGGCAAACCTACCCCATTCATATTTATCATGTGTCACATTGGTGACGTAAAATGTACGTTGTGTTTTGCACCTAATACGCTAAAGTAAAAGAAAAAGGCATAGACTGGACGGTATAGTGACATGCTCGACAGTACCTTTTATTTTTTATCGTAATTTTTACGTAAATTGAACATCACTAAAAAACGTAGTTAATGTGCCTTAAAATTGACAATTTTTAAACGTCACTGTGACATCACCACATCCATAATGTTCAGTGGGTATTTATAAATACAAACAAATATTATATCTATTTGTTATAAATTACATTAAACTTAAGTGTACAATGCATGTAACTGAAAAAAAAACAATTTTTTTTAAAAGTTAATTAAAAATATGATACTAAATAAATAATTTTAAATTTTGAATTATTTTTCAATCCTAAAAATTTCATTAAAATATCTCCAACGGTTTTTCTGTCATCTATTTTTTAATTAAAAGTCTCCAAAATTTTCATTGTAAAAAAAAATGGTTGAAAATTTTGAATGGCTTGTAAACTTAATTTGTTATTATTGTTTATATATAAAAAAGAAATAAAGATAATTAAAAAACAATAAAAACAGTAGATATAATATCTATTTGTTATAATTATTACATTAAAAAAATTAAATTTGTTAAATAACATGGTTTTCTATTGTCAACGACAGTTTATTATTTATTAATACTGATTGCAGCGGATGCCGAGTCTACGGCGCTCGGCAGCGCGCTATACCGAGAGCGCTCGCGCTCGGGAATAAATTAATTCATATTGTTTAAACTAATAGCGAGCAGTGGAATTTTTTTTCAGAATATTTAACTTAAGTGTACAATGCATATAACTGAAATAAAATAAATTTATAATTTGAGGGAGAAGTCATTAAAAATTTTATTTGTTTATTTAAAAATTAATTAAAAATATGATAATAAATAAATAATTTAAAATTTTTAATTGTTTTTCAAAATTTAAATATTAAACAATAAATCCTAAAAATTTCATTAAAATATCTGTAACGGTTTTTCTTTTATCTATTTTTTAATTAAAAGTCTCCAAAATTTTCATTGTAAAAAAAATTGTTGTTAAAATGAAAATTTAAAAAAACTGTTTTAGGGTTTTATTATTAATGGTGACTACTTTATATTAAAATATATTTATTTGAATTCCAAGATCAAGAGGCAAATGGGGGGTCCACTTGACGTGATCTTACTCACAATTAAATTATGCAAATTTTTAAAATAACAAGACACACACTTTTTGTAAAATATCTCACTTGATGACAACTTTACGAAAAAAAATATAATTACATTTTTTGTAGATAATATAATTTTCCATGTATTTTGTCATTAACTTTTTCTTGAAATATTAATAAAGAGCATTTTTTAAATTACTTATCTTTTTCCAGGCAAAATAGATCAACCCTTCGCGGAAATCCAAAGAAACTTTCAACCAGATATAACGAGCTATGACTACGACGCACCTCTTACAGAATATGGCGACTACAACTTAAAATATTTCGTAGTTAAAGAGCTAATCGAGCAATACAACCCCGTAAAAACTCGACTTCCAGAATTTGTGACGCCTTTAAAATTGGTTGAATACAAATCAATTTCTACTACAGATTTTATGGGTTTTCATGATGTACTTTCACATATTAATATTAATTGTGTTATTATAAGCGAAAATATAGTGCCAATGGAATTTCTAAATATTAATAATAATACAGGGCAAAGTTTTGGGTATGTTATTTACAGGAAAAATCATTTGGATTTAAATAAAACATTTACTCTTAAATTTGATGGGTATGTGTATGATGCTGCTACAGTTTATGTAAATGGTAAATTAATAAGCAAAAAACCAAATAATTTAAATGATTTGGACGGTTTTGGGTTCTATAGACAAAAAAATGCCATTTTAAAAGTAAATTTACCCGTATCTTTAAAAAACGCAACCCTAGAAATAATGGTGGAAAACATGGGCAGAAACAATTTTGGCCAATTAGAATGGTTCACTCAACTTAAAGGTTTACACAACAATTTTTACATAAACAACCAAGAAATAAAAAATTACGAAATTTTACCCCTAGAATTCAAAAAATCTTTCACTTCAACTCTCTCCTGGAAAAAACAACAACAAAATACCAAACAACCTGGACTTCATAAAGCAATTTTACCCATAACAAAGAAATTTGACACTTTTTTGGATATGAAAAACTGGACTTGGGGTATCGTCATTATAAACGGATTTATTTTAGGTAGATACAATAATTTAGGGCCACAGAAAAGTTTATATCTACCAGCACCTCTATTAAATATAGGAAACAATGAAATTTTAGTATTTGAAAATTACGAAGGTTCTGATAACATTAGTTTTTCAGGTAAACCGATTTTTAACTTGTAAGTTATACAAACAAGATTAAATATAGTGATCATTGCTTATAATATCATTAAATAACACTGGTCAGTGCCATTTTGCTGAAGGGTCAACCTTAATTTTTCTAAGATAATTTAAATTATATAGATTAGAGTATGTATATGTATAGGTATTTATTTTTAGTTGGTTTTATACAGTTTTTTTCATTTCTTAAATTTTGTTTATATTTTGTAACTTTTTGTGGTTTGGAATATACATATCTGTATAATTTTAGTTAATTGTTAATAAATTTTTGAACAATTTTCTTTTTATTGATTTTTATATTGAATTTACATTGTTTTAATTTTTAACATTATTTTGCGGTTTTATTGTAATTTTGTGTGTCCACAATTGTTATTTAATTTTTCTGATAAACATATCATTACATTTTTGTGTATTATCAGTTTTTTTATTTTTTATATTCAACTTATGTATACAAAAAAAATACAGTTTGCTTTAACTAAAAAATTTGGTTAAATAGGCGCCAACTAAGACATCAAATAAAACATACTCCTACAAAAAAGTATACTTATGTTGTTAGGCAAAACCACTGTGTAGTGGTTATTTTTATAATTTAAATAAATGGCTTCATTAACCACTACAGTAGTAGTTAAATTTAGTTTTATAGTATTGGTTTTAAAGACCAGTGCTCTTGTTAAATGTCACCTGTTTCTTTTGGTAGAAGTTAGTAAGATAAACTTTTATTTAAATGATTAAGGAGTTAAATTTAAACAAAACAATAGTCCTTAAAAATGATTTATTTGTTAAAATTTAACTTTTTTATTTAATATCATTAAAAACTCTCATAAATTTCGTGTGGATCCCAAAATCCACCACAAAATGCTTAAAAAATACAATTTTTTTTTCAAAAAATTAAAAACATAACAAAACAAAAATAACTTAGCATACATGCATGCTAACAAAATCCTTTTTTTTTAAACAGCTTGTGCATAAATGGATTTTATGTCTATGCATAAACTGTCATTGGTTCTAAAAACTTCGTAAGCACAATGGTGCTTATTAAAACCTAAATTAAGATATTTCTTGCAAATAAATATAATGCATGTAAGGTATGGCTGTAAGAGAATGGTCATAAGTGTAAAAACATTAGTTGACAAAATATCGTAGCGGAAACAAAATGATCGCGGTTATGAGATATGTTAGTTATATTGTAAGCAGTTTGTTAGTTAACAAAATATTCTGTGTGGTAATAACAAAACAGGCGTTAGAGCCAAGCAACTTAAAGTTATGTTAGTAAAAATCAGAAACATTAATATGAATATAACAATGCAAAGACAGTGTAAATAACAGTAGTCAAAATAAAAGCGTAAAAGAAATATAAAAGCATATGTACATAATTAAAATCAAGGAAGTGTATATTACAGAATTAAACAGTGTATGAGTCAGCAAACAAAATAAAAGCATAATATATAAATAGAAGCATGTGTACAAAATAAAATTAAAGCATATTATATTACAGGCATTTAAAAAGTGTTTACTCACATCTGTGTGTCCTGTGTTTTGGGAGTTTGTATCTTTTTTGTTAAAACATTTTTTTTATGACCAGCTCCGTCTTTTAAGACCTAGTTGATAAAATACAATAGATTAAAACCAGAAAGAAAATTTTACAATAGGTATTCGATTTTGTAGGTAAATAGTTTTGGATAGTGTCACAGTAAGGACGAAGGATTAGGAGTTAGCCTGGGTCTATGTTAAGGATTCCGCGTACCCACTTGTGTGTGTCTTATCGCTATTAAAACATCTTTTCAGCGTTGCAGCTGTTCTGGAGTAAAGGTATTTTTTCATAGGCTCGATCTTTAAGTCATTCTTCTGAGGTATTTGTTCTGAATGACCTCAAGTCTTCCAAGATGCGTTTTTGCCGTGGTTAGCCAGGCAGCAGCAGCGTATGAGATGACAGGGCGAATCAAAGAGGTCCAAATTAATTATTTTTCAGGCTTAGGATGTGTGACCGAGTTAATTTTCCCAAGACTTCTGATGGCCTTTATTCTACCTCTTTGATTGGGATCTCAGTAGGAATTCCACGTATCACTACTTGTAGTAGTTTCTCCTCTGGGAGTAAAGACGTATGGAATTCCTCTTTACTTTGAGTCAGAAAAGCTGAGATTTTTTTGTAGTTCTCTTTCGTTGATGGGTAGAAGCGGATGCCTTCAGCTGTGTTTGTTGCCCTTGTAGAACTCCATTTGTTTTTTGTACTATTTGCTTTGTCGGTTTGTACCTTATCTGCAAGAGTTGACGGTCCTTGTTGAGGGATGGGTCCTGGTATCGTTGGGGCAGGGGGTTAAGTCTGCTGCACATGTTCTGTGCTGGGTGGGGGCTTATATCCTGTCTTGTATACTGAAACATCTGTGCTTTTATTTCCTGTTTTCCTTTTTGCAGAGTTTAATGGAAAAAGTCCATGTTGGATTAAGTTAGGTCTGTAACATTGGAATTTTTGACTAGGTGTTCTTCGTTACCTATCTCAGGTAACTTTACAGTGAAGAAATAGGGTTTGAGAATCAGTTCAGGTTTTGTGATTTAATTTAAAATGCCAAAAATAACTTAAACTTATTTGTTCTTTCTGGTAAATATATAAAATATATACAAAAGCATAAATAAAGGATATATAGATGAAATAAAGATTTATAGTAGATAAGAAGAGCTATCAGAATTGTTTCTTGTATTGGCTACTGTGAAAACTGTAGACCATTTTTTAAATCTTTAAAAGTTTTAACACTACCTTGTCTTTATATTGGAATGTTTGTTATATATAAGAAAAACCTTAAAAAGTTGTGATGTCATGATATGATACATAAGTATGCTACTAGAAATCAGTCTGACATTAAATTAAGTGTTAATAGACTTAAATTGAAACTATCATGGTATAACATTTTTTAATTGTGTTCCTCTAAAAATTAGAACATAAAATACAATAGATTTAAAATAGTTATAAAAAATATTTTATCTCCAAGGCATTTTATTCTCTGGATGAGTTTCTATCCAACAACTTTTGTGATTTAAATGTGTGATATTTTATTAGACTCCACAATAAAGGTGGTACATGAGATTGTACCGAAACGTCGTCAGACAAACGCGTTTATACGGTTCTTTTAAGAAACAAAAACCGACAACACGGAGCAGATCAAACCATCAATACATATAACGCCCGTGAAAACCTAATACACATACAAAAAGAGTTAACATTAAACAATATAAAAAAAAGTATAATAAAGAATAGTAAATTTACAACCTTTAAAAAAGAGTAAAAATAAATTAATTTAAAAAAAGTGGAATAAAAATACACAAATAGGAGTAAAATTAAAATCAATAATAAATGAGTTATAATATTTTTATTTTAAAAGAATTAAAATTTAAACCACTCCAAAAAAAATCCATAAACTTCACTCTTTAATGAGTAAATAGGTATTTACGCGGGGCCGAGGATGGCGCAGTGGGTTGAGCTACAGAGCTGTAAGCAATCTGGGTCTAACGGTACCGGGTTCGATTCCCGGTCACAGCCTTGGGTGTTGTAGTTGTTTATTAAACAAAAATAAATATCATGAGCTGGCTAAATAGTCTTAAAAAGACTAAAAGTCAATAAATCTTGGGAGTAAAAAACTATTTACGTGGCAAAGGGATAAAAAACCATTATTTATGAGTGTTTTTTCACTTATCTGAGTGATTTGGTTTAAGAGTGTAATAAGTTTTCTAATGGTAATATTGAATTAAATTTCATCTAAAATGCCCAAGTATACAGAACAGCTAAAAATAGATACAGAACAGCTAAATATAGATCGGATATAACATTGGCAAATTTTTCTAATAACGAAGATGTTTCTTCAAATGTTTTAGATATTAATAATACTTAATTGCTACGTATTCATTTAGCGATAATAATTTAGATGAAAATACAGAAAATTGGCAGCTTTCTAGAGGAAACACAAAGACTTTGATTTTTAACAACTTTTTATTAAGTTCTTCAGATGAAAGCGAGGAGGAAAATATACATTTATCAAACTTGACAAAATCAAAGTTCGATAACAGTAGTTTAAGTAAAGATGCAATGGAAACTTTTACACATTTTATTGCAACTTAGGTATATTAACATATATAAATATTTTATAGATTTAAAGAAAGGAATAAACAATGGGATAAAATTAAGGTTGTCATGACATACAAAAGTGCTACTGAAAGAGATGTTGTTAGTACAAAACTTTCTGGTGGCAAAAAGCTAATATGCTTATTCCATACATTACAAATTTTTCAACGAGAGGTAACACCAGCAAAGCTTAATATAACATCTGAGCAATCAAAATGCTCCTTGCAATATTTAAATAAGCTTGCTCATTCGAAATCGAAAGCATATTATAACACTACGTTAAACGAAATGAAGGAAAATATACCACAAGCAGCAGTAACATATTTTTCAAAGAACTGGGAAAAAATTAAACACGAATGGGCAAAATGATTTACAAACTAAACCACAAACTTAACCAATAAAAGACTGCCAAAACATCAATAATATGGTATTAAACGAAGGACCTGCAGAACATGATTATACCAGTATTAATAACATGGAACAAAATTGACAAAAAAACTGACACTATCAACAAAGAAAGTTTTAGCAGTATTCTGAAACCAGATTTGTTATCTATGGATTTATCTCAATCTATTGAGATATTGAAAGAAGTTAACTGTGATATAAATTATTTGGAAATTGTTGATAATGGATCTTGTTTCCCAGTGTCTTAACACCACGGGAATAAGTAATGGCATAATCGACAAACTAAAGGAAAACATCGAATGGCACTTTGCGTGTTTAGATGTCAAAAACCTTGAGAAACAAACAAACAGGCAAAATGTTTTACAAACTATACCACAAACTTTTTTAACTTTACCAATAATAGGCTGGAATTCCAAACTGAAATCTGTAATTTTAACTTACAGTACGTTTAAAGAGTTAATAAGAAAATTATTTATTTTCGTTAATA